TCGTTAGGGAGTGGTTCATGAGATTAGGAGTTCACTCTAGTATGCTTTGAATTTAAACATCTGGTTTATGTGGGGGCGGGGTCAGAGTGGGGAAATGGCATCCCCCTCTCCTGCTTCCCCGCAGCTGGGTGAGGAGCGGAGCCTTAGGGGACAGTCACCTACAAAAGAGTTCCCATCAGACTGTCAGCAGATTTCTCAAAAGAGACCTTACAGGCAAGAATGGGCTGGAAAGAGGTGTTCCAAGTCATGAAATCCAAAGACCTACATCTAAGACTGCTCTACCCAGCAAAGCTTTCATTTAGAATGGAAGGTCAGATAAAGTGCTTCTCAGATAAGATCAAATTCAAGGAGTTCATCATCACCAAGCCCTTATTATATGAAATGTTAAAGGGACTTATCTAAGAAAAAGAAGATAAAGAAACATGAACAGTGAAAGGACAACAAACTCAAAGTTATTAACAACCACACCTAAAATGAAAGCAAACTAAAAGGACAGCTAGATCAGGAGTGGAACCATAGAAATGAAGATCACATGGAGGGTTAGCAACAGGGGAGTGGGAGGAGAAGGGGAGAGAAGGTACAGAAAATAAGTAGCATAGACGGTAGGTAGAAAGTAGATAGGGGGAGGGCAAGAATAGTATGGGAAATATAGAATCCAAAGAACCTGAGACACATGGTCATAAACTAAAGAGGGGGAATAGTAGGGGTGGGGGGGTGCAGGGTGGACAGGAATGAAGGGGGGAAATAGAACAACTGTAATTACGTAATCAATAAAATAAAAATTAAAAAAAAAGAAAAAAACTCCATCTGGTTTATATCGACAAGTCTCAAGGGGTATAATGCATTCTTTAGGCCTGATTTCCCATGAGAACCCGGTGCTAGTGTTGGGTTGTGCCTGCCTTCAGCATTCCTGGTGTTCCCTATGAGACTTATAGGCCAGGCCTTGCTCACTCAGGGCTACAGTTTCTGATACCACACAAAGTGGTCTCCAACAAATACTTAATTAAAAAGAGATGTTTAATGTCATTTAAGATTACTCAGAGGTTGATCAGAAAGTCATATATTGTATTTCTATTTGGGTGGAGGTTTCTGTTAATATTTAACATACATATTTAAACATTTTTAAAAATTTGTATTTGAGTTTAACTTGTATATATGCTATTCTGAATAAGACAAGAACCTCAGCTTGCTCTCATATCTTCTTTGCCTCTCTGTTTTGCTATCATCCGGGTTTTTAGTCCTATCATTAAATTACCCTCACGATTTGCTTCAAGAATCATTTTTACTCAGATTCATTTACTTACTACATTTTTATAATCCATACAAGTTTTACTTTGATTTTTAAAAATAAATTGCATTCATGACTATTTCCATCAGAGATATTCTAGAGATCAGAATCTATGTATATTTGTATTTTCATCTTTCAAATACCTTTGCTCTGCTCATAGGTAAGTGCTAGATTAACAGGTTATAGAATTCCAAATTCTAAATGATTTTACTTTAGAAATCTGAGAATATTGCTCCACATAGTCTTCTAGGATCCATAACTGCTGGTTAGAGCCTGAGGCTAGCCTCACTCTCTTTGCTTTGCCTGGAAGAGTGGAATTCTTGGTTACCCAGCACTCAGTCCCTCTCCTTTTTTATACAGAACTTGATCTTGTGGCCACATCTACATCTCACTCCACTCCTGAGGAGCAGAGTGGAGAGAAGGAAGAATCCTGTGTTTTGAACCGCCTCAGTGAACCACTCATTCTGCTGTAGCATCTTCTATTACTTGTGGCAAGTAATAAATACATAGGTAATCTTTATTTCCTTCTTATATCTTGGTAGTTTTTAGGGTTTCCTGTTTTCCTTAGAGTTCTTAAGTTTCATTCAGGTTGTATTTTTGTAGACACCTCTTTCCACCCCCACACCCCAATTATTATGCTCAATACCTTATATTCTATTTAACCTGAAGACCCAGATCTTTTTCAGCTTGAATATGTTTCTGCTGTATCTCTATCCATATTTTGATATAATCCATTTGTAATTATTTACCTCTTTTCATTTTCTCTGTTTTTCTTTTTTCCTCTGAGTCCTTACATATGATGGATTTTAGATCTTGGGGCATATTAATGCATGCCTTCCAAGATTTTCACTCAATTCCTGATGTTTTGATGACTTTTTCTAGATATTTTCAATTTATTCCTTTGAAAATTATATGTTACTGTTATTTTAAGGAATATTAAGAGCTATAAGGAGGTAATCACGTACTTAGTCTGCCATGTTATTTTTACTTCATAAATGTCAGTGCTATGTTTTTTTGCCAATAGTGGTTCATGATTTTTATATTTTTATTTTATATTGTTATTTTTATTGTGATAAAATTTATATAACATAAAATTTACCATTTTAAGAGTACAGTTCAGTTGCATTACCTATATTCACAGTGTGCAACCATCACCATCTCTCTCCAGAAATTTACTCTGTACCCATTAAACAGTAAATCCTCAATTCCCTCTCCCTCCAAGTCCCTGGTAACCATTATTCTATTATTTGTGTATAAATCTGTCTGTTCTAGATACCTTATATAAGTGGAATTATACAATATTTGTCTCTTGCATCTGCTTAGTTTACTTAGCATGCCTTCAAGATTCATCCATATTGTAGCATGTGTCAGAACTTCTATTGCTGAATAATAACCCATTGTATGTAGAGACCACATTTTGTTTATCCACTTAGCCCTTCATTGATGCTTGGGTTATTTCTACATTTTGGCTATTGTGAATAATGCCATTGTGTACACTGGTATACAAATACCTGTGTAAGATCCTGCTTTTAATTCTTTTGGGCATATACCCAGAAGTAGAATTGCTATATCATACAGTAATTCTATTTTTAATTGTCTGAGAAACCACCATACTATTTTCCATTGTGGTTGCATCAGTTTACATTCCCACCAGCAATACACAAGGATTCCATCATCTCCAGGTCTTCATCAGCACTTGTTTTCTGTATGGCATTGTTTTGTCAGCCACACTAATAGGTGTGAACTGATATCCCATTGTGATTTTAATTTTTATTGTTATTTTTCGGTTTGTAGGCCAGCACTCAATCCACTGAGTCATCCCATCCAGGGCTTTTATTGTTATTTTTTAAAATCCTCACCCAAGGGAGGGGGAGAATGAGAGAAAGAGAGAGATTGGTTGCTCCTTCCCATACATGCCAGGACCAGAATGGAACCCGCAACCTTTTTTTTTGTGCATTACAGGATGCTCCAACCAACTGAGCCAACTGAGTCAGAGCTTCCACTGAGGCTTTAAAAAAAAAGATTTTATTTTTATTTATTTTTAGAGAGCGGGGGAGAGAGGGAGAGAAACATAGCTGTCCAAGAGAAACACTAATCTGTTGCCTCTCTCACACCCCCAGCCAAGGACCTGGCGGGCAACTCAGGCATGTGCCCTGCCCCAGAATCAAACATGTGACCTTGGTTTTGCAGGATGAGGACCAACCCACTGAGCCACATCAGCCAGGACTCTCATTATGGTTTTGATTTGCATTTCCCTAATGGTTAGTCATGTGTATCTTTTATCAACACAAAACAACTCACGTGTTCAATTTTAATCATTTTTCACTTTGAAATGATCTTATTGCAACATCATGATCCCAGATTTATTTTTCACATTTTCCTGGCATATTTAGTTAATCTATTTTCTACCTTCAAGTGCCCTTCAGAATTAGGCTTGCCTTTGTAAGCTGTAATGTCGAATATTTAAAAAATCAATTATTTAACATATTCAGCTCATGTTATTTGGTAAGTGTGGTGCCAGTCATGGAAATGCAGTTTGAAGAAGGGGATTGTAGTTGAAGCTGAAGACAAGCTTTAGGGTTGTCTTCAAAACAATGAACCGTTTTAAAAGAATTGAGTGATACGAAAAGGGACATACTGGGTTTCTGTTTTTACCTAATGTAAATGCCAGTTAAAAATATGTCTTTTATAGGCCACAAAATTTAGATATAATTTAGACAAAAATTTGTAACAGACTTGAACACTTCTCTTACCAAGAATAAGCATCAGAGAGTGTGTAATAGTCCACATTTTAAAATACATTATCATATTTCCCTCTTATCATCATTGTCATTATAATCAGGAATAAAAAGGGTGTACGAGAGGTGCGGTTAGAGCTACTGCTGCAAGATGTAGGTCAACCTTCCCCGGCTCCTGGCAGGGAGCATTCTTCAGCCCTGTTGCTATTGGCCCTTCTCGGTGCCAATCGAAGTGCCTGCCGCGGCTGCTTCTGGGAAATAGAGTTCAAAAGGAAAAGCGTTGTGCTTCGTGCTGGGGACCCCGCGGCTCTCCGGTGCGCAGGCGCATTGACCCTAGGCGGCCTACCAGTGAGAAATATTTCTACGCTAGGTCTTCCGCTCACTTACAGTGAGGTTGGCAGCTTCGCGATCCGTCGCGGCGGCGCTGGGTGCAGATAGCCGGTAGGAGAGGGCCCAGGGTGTGCACCTCTTGCGGCGGGGCCAGAACCCCGAGTCCCATCTCCGTGCGCACAAACCGAGGCAGCCTCTGCTCGTGAACGCAGCCGGGAGGGGGCGTTGCCGGGGCGTGGGGGGCGGGTGGGGGGTGGCCGGCCGCACCCTTGGACGCCGGAAGTCGGGCTGCAGCAGCTTTCACCCGGGTCCTGCGCGGGGGCTGGGCTCCCTGAGGAATGGCCGCAGGAAGAGATTGTAGCGAGCAGTCTTGTTTCGGGGTTCGTGAATCCTGTGGTGGTCTTCGGCTTGTAGTATTTGTTGGTTCCCCCTTCCTCAGAGCACATAGGTTACTTTAGATTTATTCGTTTTTGCAAACCTTGCTTGTTTGGCATCGTTTTCCTAGAATGATTTAACTATTTTTGTTGTTGTTATGTCCTTTTGCTCTACCTGCAAAGTTCATTTCTAGCCAGCGACGCTATTCCTTCTGAGTCTTGTATTTCTGGGGGTGGAAAAGGGAAGGCGGGTCGGTAGTGGTTCTTTTCACACAGGGAACTATGATAACTCTTCTTCACAAGGGAAGTGTAGCTTCCAAGAAGAAGAGAACAGGAATTTTGGGTTAGCTATTTGGACAGCAAGCTGTTCAGATGACACTTGAAGAATTAAAATCGTGAATGAAAGAAGCCTTCACACCCATAAGGATTTATTTGAGGACATGCCTTGAAGCAAGACTCAGTGGATTGAGAAATGCTCCGAGAATAGCAGGCATAACAGTCCCTTGTATATTTTCGGAATTAGAGGAAACAATGTAAGGCAGGTCACTAGGTTAAGAAGGCAGGAGAAGCAGAGTGGGGGAAATCTCGGGGGCAGGATGAAAAACAAGATGGAGAGATACATGCGGCACTCACGCTGGTGGGTGTAGCCTGGGGACTTCAGGCAGTCCCTGGAGGAGAGACAGTGGGGGCAGGAGGGTGACAACAGGGAGGTCCGAGTTGAGTTCTGGGCTCTGGGCTCTTTTTGAAGGAGCTGGAAACTCGAGTTCCTCTGACTCGGCAGAAAGAAGTCTTAGCTGCAGGAGGATGATAGGCAGGGCTCGCCTACTGGGAAGGTTGATGGGTCAGTTAGGAGTCACCGTGCATACTGTCCTTAGGTTACTTTTGGTCCCTGGGCTTGTCAGGCCTGTGTAGCCCTCTTTTTGTTGACATAGTTACAGTTATAGCCCAAAGTATCGAAGTGCAAATGTGTGGAATATTGTGTCATGTTTCATTGCTTTAGCCCTTTGAGCCTGGGTTGACTGCCCTGCACTCGGTTTATGCAATTTCAGATGATACTCATCCCTTAGTTGGATTCCCCTTTATTCAAAAACCACTGGTTGGAAGGTAGCAGGCCTGTGATGGGGAGTTTGGGGCCATGCTGAGGGTTCCTCTCTCTGGAGGTCCCCTCTGCGGGGACTCCCTCTGTGGTGGTGGTGACCTGGCCTGAAGTATGGGATTGCTGACAGTGTGGAGAGCGTCACAGCTTCCTTCTTCCTTTCAGGTGCCTCCTGCAGCCAGGTCAGTTGGCAGGGGGAAATGGCCACAGAGTTGCTTCCACCCCAGGCTCAGGTGAGTGAGGCTTCCTTCCTTGAACTGCCTTCTGGGTTCAGAGGTTCACTCATTGCTGAGCTTGTCTAGGCAGGAAGCCCCAGGGGGATCAGAGGGCTGCAGGTGAGGGACTCAGTAAGGAAGGTGTTTTTCTCACCTCACTGCCAGACTTATTGTCAGTTCTGTGCTTTAACAGTTAAGTCCTTGCGGACTAGGAATTGAATGGGCCACAAGTCCCATCCGTGGTCACACCCAGAGCTCTGTGAGGGATCCAGGGTATCTGTGCTCTGTGGAGGGTGAATGCATGGAAGAGTCAAATGATTCCCTCACAACATTAGGGATTTATGGAGGAAAGGCAGCATTGTTGCCTTCCCAGTCAACCACAACAGTACCTGGTAAGGGTCCAGGTGATTTTTCTAGGAGGAACCAGGAAAGAAGACCTCTGAGTTAGTAGGTGTGGTCAGGGACACATGTGTCAGTGTTGGGCAGTTTGGACTGACAAGCAGTACTGGGCTCACATAGATGGCAATAGGAGAAGAAAGAGGTGACAGGTTGGAGGAAGTGAGTGAGCCTTCCCTGAGCAAGGAAGCATCCAGTCTGCAGCGATGTCTTTCCTTCTTTGCCCTTTCATGGCTCTGGGAAGCATAATCTCTTTCCAACCCAGAAAACTTCTCAACAAAAATAGGAGACAAAAAAAAAACTCATTTGAGTGAGTGTTTGGCCAGAGTGTGATGTGCATCCCAGGCGATCTGCTAAAGACATCGCAAAGATGGAAATTTCCTTGAATGTAGATGAGTGGATTATCCAGTCCAGATTTGCAGTTTGACAAATTTGTCAGGTAACAAGTTAGGCCCATGTCTTCCAGGAAACTGGAGGTTGGCACATTCCAAGAGATGGTTACAAGTCCTTGAGGACCCTTTCCTGAGTGGTGAGGCTTTTTAGCCATTATTAAAAAGATTTACACACACTGGAAAGGACTGAGACAGCCTCTCATTTTTGTGTTTGACCTTGCAGGCCAGGGAACATTCCTGGCCTTTCAACCTCTTTCCTGGCTTTGGAGGAGAGTAAAGAGAAAGCATGCTGTGACTTAACACGGACACCTTTAGAAATGTGTCCTAAGGAAGCAGGCTTTGCACACTTTCCCGGTGACCTGCAGGGCTGCTCAAGCTGGCATTTTTAGAGTAACTAAAGTGGAAATAACCCAGACACCCACCAGTACATTAGTTATGTGAACTGATTGATCTGTACAGTGAAATGAGGGACAGCAAATAGAATGTGCAGTGGAACAGTTACTTGTATGATCTTCTGTCTTTGTTTAAATATAAAGCCATTTTAGGATATAAAAAGTCTGAAAGGACACATAGGAAGAAGTTAACAAAACTTGTTTCTGTGGTAGAAAGTTAACATTTCTTTTTATTTTACCTATTGATCTTTGCTAAGTTGCTTTTAAAGAAAAAGATCTTTAATAAGAAAAGAAAGGGGCTATTGGTTTAAAAGAGGTGAGTGGTCCAGAGAAGCTGGGGAGAGGTGGGCAAGGGCCTCTGGGTTGATGGGAGGGCTCTATCTGCAGCCTTTGCACTGGGATCTGTTGAAGGGTTCGTGCAGCTCACTGCCTGGGCCCTGTCCTGACAAAGCCATGTTTGGAGAATTTTCAGGGCCTCCCCTTACCTAGGATACAAATATGGAGGAAAAGATGGCCCAAAGTGGGGACAGTCCAGCACACCTGTTCCTCCCTGAGGGGAGTGTGCTGGAGTCTCCTTCTAAAACCTGCTGTTGACACCTCACCTGTAGAAGGAGAGTTTGGTCTTGATGATTGTCCATTTCCACATCTGAAGGCCTGCATCTCTGTCATTCTGGTTTGTTTAATGACTTCAAGTGCTTGTCTTGTTAGGCAGCTGTTCAGATTCTGAGGGCATAGGGCTTCATGCACAGAAAATGCGTGATGGGTGTGTGCTTAGGACCTGAGGGGATCAGGAAGGGTTTGGCTTGAAATGCTCAGGGCTCCGAGTGGTAGCAGGGTTACTGTTCAGTCATCCCCTTGTGGGGATGGTCCTGGGTGAGCAGAAGTGGCTTTGTTGTTACAGGAGTTCGTGACGTTTGGGGACGTGGCTGTGCTCTTCAGCCGGGACGAGTGGCTGTGCCTGGACTCTGCACAGAGAACCTTGTACCGGGAGGTGATGCTGGAGAACTACCACAGCCTGGTGTCCCTGGGTAAGGCTGGGCCTCATCCTGGGCTCACTGGTTGAGCCCCTCCCTTGTCCCCATCTCTGTGGGTAAGGCCCTGCCTTGTCCTGGCCTCTGAGTGAGGCCCTGTCTTAACCCAGGCTCTGTGGGTAAGGCTCTACCTGGTGATGTGCACTCTGCTGAGGGGGCATCTTGGCGTTCTCTCCAAGGAGGACATTGTGGGCTCAGGCAGGTTCAGTCCACCACTGCAATAGGTGGGCTTTGAGGGTGGCAGTTGCTGTTCCTCTCAGCTGCTGTGAATGTTTCAACTTGACAGAGTTGGTGACGTTCCTCCTTTCTGTGCTTTTCCCGTCTCCTGTCCCCGGCCTCTGTTCCCCATGACTCACAGGGGGTTCCAGCTTAGAGGAGTACACAGCCAGAGCTCTAGCCTTTTTCCTGATTCCCTGGAAACCCAGGTTTAAGCCCCTCTCAGAACAAACCTCTCTTTCCTTGGACTGTCCTTTTGGCCCAAGACACTGGGCCTGGACCTACGGGCCAGGATGGCTGCTCGTGCCTGTGCCAAGGACTCATTCTCTTTTTCTTGCTCACACACAGGGATTCTGTTTTCCAAACCAAAGGTTATCTTCCAGTTACAGCAAGGGGAAGACCCCTGGATGGCGGGAAATGGACTTTCCTTCGGTGCATGTCTAGGTGAGTGACAGTCCCTGGGGAATGGGCCTGCCTTTCTTCCCTCATAGAAGCTCTATTTGTGGGATGCTGCAGGTCAGCCAGGAGGCCACTCTCAGCTGACACTCACCAGGGCTCTTGCTGATGGGCCTGGCCAGGTGGGAAATGCTGGGAAGGATGTAGCTTCACAGTCTTACCTTTCGAGTACTTGATGTAGGAAGTTCAGAGGAAGAGGTAGATTCTTCTAATTTGGATTGCACTTTTTAAAAAATACACCCCTTGTAATTTAAGTGTCGAAGGTTTGTCTCCCTCTTTTTTGTGTGCTTTTACTGGATTATTTTCTTAAGTTGTTTCCTTTTTGTGGTTTTTCCCATACCTTTTAACACTAAATATAATCTCACTGTTCCATATTGGGTTTTTGCTTTGACTTTCTGGTTTGCAACTTATTACACATAATTCAGCTGAAAAGAAGCTGTGCTTGTATTCACATACAACATGGGGGAGAGAGAGCAGGGGTAGCAAAATGGTAACAGTTATGAAATGTAGGGAGAAAGTTCACAGATATTTATCATGCCTTTCTCCTAAATCTTTTGTGTAAAAATTTTCAAGATAATATGTTCCAGACCTCAGCTACCAGGTCTTAGGTCTCAGTCGCCAGAATTCCATGGGTTGTTGTGTCATGAGCTCTCACTCTCTGATCTACTTTGAATTTTATCTTTGTTTCTGGCACCAGAGGATGGTTCTCTCCTTTGAGTTTTGCTGCTTATCCAGCATTTATTTATCTTTAAAAAAATTTCTCTTTAGAGGGGTAAAGGGAGGGGAAGAGAGAAACATCTGTTGGCTGCCTCTTGCACACCCCCAACCGCAGACCTGGTCTGCAACCTGGGCATGTACCCTGACCAGAAATCGAGCCAGTGACCCTTTGGTTTATAGGCTGGCACTCAAGCCACTGAACCAAACCACCCAGGGCCAGCATTTATTTCTCTTCATGGCAGGAGGCAGGCTTTCTGTGTCTGCTCAGTCTTGTGTTTCCTTTCAGAAACTGTCTTCACATCTTTCTGTTTGGTTTGACTAGAATATGTCCTTAAACAATGTTTTCAGAAAGGTTTGCGTGTACTATGTTTGTGCTTGTCTAAAGTCAGTTTTTTTTTACCTCTCCCATGGGAATTATGTTTGGATCTAGAATTCTGGCATAAGGTTTTCCCCCAGAAGTGCTCAAATTGTGCTCCACTGTATTTGGAGTGCTACAGAGTCTCTTGTTGCTAAAAAATCTGTTAGTGTGATCCTGCTTCCTTTATTTCCTGTATAGAAATCCTTTTTTTGGTCTTGTCTTCTGTCTCAAATTATAGGATATCCTCTTTATCTTTGGAATTCAGAATTCATTAGTTGTATCAGGGTGTTTATTTGTATTTCTTAATACTGTTGTTTGGCACTCACTAGGCCCTTTGCTTTTAAGAGCCAAGTCTTTCTCATTTCAGGGATCTTTTTTTCTACTACATATTTTACTTATACTCTGCCACATTCTGCTAAAAACTCAAGGAAGCTGACTGCAAGAGTAATGATAAAATAAAATAGAAATTCATTCAGAGCTCTAGAAAGTAAATGTATCCATAGAAAGTACCAGAATGGGTAGCCAGGATGAGTTTCTGATTTGACTCTGAGCTTTCTAGCTGTCAGAAAAATCATTAGTGTCAAATGGGCGCTAATTCTTCAATATGCATTTATTTGTACAAGGTATACATAGTATTGTAAATAAGAGGAGCTGGAAAGGGAGATTCCCTTGAAATTTTACCAACCACGATGCACCTTTGCTGGTATTTTACTGTTAATCCTTTCAGACTGTGTGAGTATTGTTTGAGTGTGTTTGTGCATGAGAGAGACAGATGCACTCAGATGGAGAGAAGCAGAGAGAATGATTATACATGTTGTTCTTGAGCTGTATTTAATTGGGAATGCCCTTCAGTTATTCACCCCTCATGGAGTAGAGGCCTACCTCTTTGAAAAGACTCTGTTGTATTGTTAAGCCATAGTTTATTTGGAACAGTCTTGTAGGAATTTTAGTTTTTAGTTTTTCCCTGTTGATATTGCTACTGTGGCTATAGATACAAAGATAAAAAGTCCAGAGAGTAATTACAGCACAAAGGCATGAGTATTGTGATTAAAAAGGCAAGAAATGGGAATTGAAAATTCACGAAGAATTTTTTTCAAAATTACTCAACCTCATTATAATCAGTGAAATTCAAACTAAAACAATGTTACCATTTTTTCTTATTAAATTACCAGAAATTAAGAAATATATATCCAGTGTTTTGCTACTCTATGAGGATCTTTAGAATCTTCTGATTTGTAGTCAGACATATTATCCACTGTCCCCATACCGTCATGCAGTATCTTTAGTGGGATTTTGATAGGTACAGTCTATCTGGCTTCATGAAAATCAATTCCAGGTTTGGAAATTTGTCTTAAGAAAATAATTCTATAATTGTGCAAAGTTGCAAAAAATGTGTAAAACAATGTGCTGGTGCTCAATCCACTGAGTCACACTAGTCAGGGCACAACATGAGGGATTACTGGGGAGGAAGAAATCTAAATGAGTTTCAGAGGGGATTTAGTAAATTATGATGTGTTCAGGACAGGAATATTACACAACCCTTAAAAGGATGGTGTCATCCTACATTTATCTACATGCAGAGAAACCCACAGTTTGTTTTTTTTAAGTGAAGAGTGGGAAGGGAGAAATTCAGTTTCAGTCAGTTTTTATTTCTTAAGTAAAAGATTGTTTTAATATGCAAAAAAATCTGGTGTACTAAATTTCACATGTGATAATAATGACTACATTGCATGATGTGTTTATGGGTGAACTACATTTTCATTTTTATAATTTTCTGAATTTCTCTCATGATTGTATATTTCCTTTCTTTTTATAGAAATAAAAGCTCTTTTATAAAATACATTTATTCCTTTCGAATTACCAGTTCTGTTTCTTGCACTGTATCTTAAGTAATCAAAAAAGTGGACAAAATTATCCTTGGAAAGTACTGTTCTGTTAATTTTCCCATATCATCACAGGGCCCTGTCTCCATCGAGCTGTTCAGACAAGAAGCTAGGTATTACTCTTGCATCCTCTCTTCCACTTACTCTGCACACACTGTTAGGTGAAGATGCCAGTCACCTCTACCTCCAGAGCAGCCCAAATGTGCCTACATTTACTGCCATACCACTGCAAACTGCCATATCCTCCATCCAGGAGGGTTTTGTCAGCCTGCTAACTGGCTGCTGCCCATCTGCCCTTGTTTACTTTGCCCTCACCCCCATTGACAGTCCATTTGTCACAACACCATACTTATTCTTCAACAAAATTGTATCCCTCCTTACCCCCAGTGATTCTTAAAGAAATTCCAAATGCCTTTCTAGATCTTAGAAGGCCCCACATGACACAGCACTTGCCCACCTCTTCACCTTGCAGCACTCCTCCCTTGTTCCCTCTTGCTTAAACACACTGGACTTCTTTGTGTTTCTCAAACACACAAAGTTTTTTTTCTGACTGGAGTTATTTTTATACCCACATGTTTGCATGGCCAGCTCTTGCTAGTTATAGCTCATGTTTAATTTAATTTTTTATCACCCAGTTTAAAATACCAGGTTGTTCACCCTTATATATCACCTCATTCTTGTTTTTGTACAGTTCTCATCACTTCTATATTTGTTTAGATTCTGAGCATATATTTGTTAGTGATCCTTGTATATTTTGATGTCACTTTTCTTTATTCCCAATGCAAGGGAAACTTACATGTTTTATTTATTTTAGGGTGGGAGAGCTTGTTTGAAACCACATTTTCCAAAGAAGACTATCAGGAAGTACTGAGTAAACTCATAGGTGATGGTACTTTTAACTTCAAGCTGGAGAAAACCTACATAAATGAGGACAAGCTGGAGAAGCAGCTAGGCAAAAAGAACAAACCTTTCAGGAAAGTCTCAATTACCATAAAAAAATCCTACACAAAGGAGAGGAACTTCATAAGTATTGAACTTGAGAAAAATCTTGGTCTAATATCATCAGTTATTAGGAAACCCAGAATTGTTTCCAGAGGAAGGAAACCCCATTCACAGCAGTATTCAATTCTATTTAAACAACTGGGAGTCAGTACAATGCGAAAATGTTACAAATGTAACATATGCGGAAAAATCTTCCTCCACAGTTCTTCCCTGAGTAAACATCAGAGAATTCACACTGGAGAGAAGCTCTATAAATGTAAGGAATGTAGGAAAGCCTTCAGCCAAAGCTCGTCCCTGACTCAGCACCTGAGAGTTCATACTGGAGAGAAACCTTACATATGCAGTGACTGTGGAAAAGCGTTCAGTTTCACTACATCTCTCATTGGACATCAGAGGATGCATACTGGAGAGAGACCCTATAAATGTAATGAGTGTGGAAAAACATTTAAAGGTAGCTCATCTCTTAATAATCACCAGCGAATTCACACAGGGGAAAAGCCCTATAAGTGCAGTGAATGCGGGAGAGCCTTTAGCCAGTGCTCATCTCTTATTCAGCATCATAGAATTCATACTGGAGAGAAACCATATGAATGTAGTCAGTGTGGGAAAGCCTTTACTTCAATATCAAGGCTAAGTAGGCACCATAGAATTCATACTGGAGAGAAACCCTTTAATTGTAATGAGTGTGGGAAAGTATTCAGTTACCACTCAGCTCTCATTATACATCAGAGAATTCACACAGGTGAGAAACCTTATGCATGTAAAGAATGTGGGAAAGCCTTCAGCCAAAGCTCGGCTCTCATACAACATCAAAGAATTCATACTGGAGAAAAACCCTACAAATGTAATGAGTGTGGAAAAGCTTTTTCCTGGATTTCACGGCTTAATATACACAATAGAATCCATACTGGAGAGAAACCATATAATTGTAAAGAATGTGGAAAAGCCTTCAGTTCCCACTCAGCAGTTAATACTCATCGAAAAATTCACACTGGAGAGAAACCGTATAAATGTAATGACTGTGAAAAGGCCTTCAACCAAAGCTCAGCTCTAATTCAGCACCAGAGAATTCATACTGGGGAAAAACCATTTAACTGTAATGTGTGTGGGAAAGCCTTCAGACAAAGTTCATCCCTTATGACACACATGAGAATTCATACAGGAGAAAAGCCTTATAAATGTAAAGAATGTGGGAAAGCTTTTAGTCAGAGCTCTTCCCTTACTAATCACCAGAGGACTCATACTGGAGGAAAACTGTAAGTAAAATGCATGTGGAAAATCTCAACTGAAGTTCATTCCATACTGAATATCAAAGAATTCATCCTGGGGAGAAAGTGATAAAAAGTACTTAATTATGGGTTAAACTTCAGAATATAGATATGATCAGATATCAGAGACTACATGATGCAGGATAACCTTAGGAATATTAGGAAAGTGTCTAAAAATGATTTTTGTGTATGTTCTTAAGTTATTGACTATAAAATAGAGCATTTGTAAATTAAAGGGTCAGTATTTTTTTTTCTTTCTGCTAATGTGTGGTAACAGTCAGCAGGTTTCACAAGCATCACTGGGAAGCATGGTAACCTGTAAAAGTGCAGGCATAAAATCTAAATTTCAGATTAATTTGGAAACCTGTTTTTTAAAAATTATATTTAAGTGTATGCAAGCCAGTTGTACTAAGAAGAATGTTTTGGAGGGGAAATGTAAGCAGGTGACCTCTAGCTACCTCAACTTTCACTAAACATGCCTTTTTATTTAAAAGCAACTTCTGTACTTGGTGGTTGTTAAAACTTTTGGGTTGTTTCTCCCCTGTTTTCTAAGCCATCCACTTGAAAAGAAAATTGTGCAGGTATGTAGTCTTATGAGTTTTCTTCCTGACTACTTGTTTCAAACTATAAATCAGATATAAAGTCACTTTATTTTAGGTCACAAAGTACATAGTATTTTACTTGTTTTCTTGTAAAGTAATTATCTTTGCTGTATTAAGTTGAAAAAGGTTCAGACAACTGCAGCTTTTGCAAGTTAATCTACAACTCTTGGCCCACCAGGCTTTGCCTGTTTCCTGCACAGGAACAATATGGGACCTGGGTATCCTCCCTGGTGCTAAAGTGAGCCAGGCACCTTTCTGTGCCATTGTGTGGTGCTTGCTCCCTCCCTGCACTCCACAGGTCACTAGAAAAAATCAGGCTCTAAGTTCTGATGCTTTTTTCTACAAAAATGGACTAGTACATCCTTCAACAAGTAAGTCTACTTAAGCATTTCTGAAATGTAATTTAAGTTAAAAACAGTTATCTCACAAGTCAGACTAAAATTATTGACCTTTACAGAAGCCAACATCATCTAGTTATGCCTAATTTATCAGGAGTAGGAAGCACTTAAGGACTGAAGTACCCATTTTGTTTTTTTAAAAACTCAGAAGAGGTGCTATTGGGGGTGGAGTGTAAGCAAAGCAAAAATAATTGAATTCATTTTCTGCCTCCTGGGATCATTTAATCTTAGTGTTTTAGGATTGTAAGGAACAAACTTTCCTGGGTTATTAATGCTTTGTCTGCAAGGCCCTTCTTCCCACCACCATTCTTTCTACAAAAATATAGCTTCTCTGCCTTAGTAATGCAATAACAAAATGCCACAGACTGGGTGGCTTATAAACATTCCTCACTATTGAAGGCTGTCACTGTTGAAGTCCAAGATCAAGGTACCAGCATGGTTGTGTTCTGGTTTAGGCCCTCTACCATCTCTATAGCCAGTGCTGGCCGTGTTCTTACATGATGAAGGAGACAGGTGGGGCCTTTTAAAAGGACACTAACTGCATTCATGGGGGCTCCACCTCATGGTAATCACCTTACAAAGGCTCTGTTTTCTAATGCCATTGCTTTTGGGGTTAGGATTTCAACATACAAGTTTTGAAGGGATACAAACTTTCAAAAAAAGATTTTTTAGACATAGAGGAAGAGAGGGAGAGAAACATAGATGTGTGCAGTTGGTTGCCTCTTGTATACATCCTCAGCCAGGGACTGGGCCTGCAACCAAGACATGTGCCTTGACCAGGAATCAAACTGACCTTTCGTTTTGCAGGATCATGCTCAATTAAGTCACACTGGTCACAAACTTTTAGACTTCAGCATTCCTCAAGTATTAATAGTCCCCAAATCAGCAAGCAAAGAAAAACCTACCATACACACACACACACACACACACACACACAACACCCAACTGGTGTGTTGTGTGTGTGTGTGTATATGCATTTGCATTTATATTTATATTTATATTTATATAAAATACTAGGTCTGGTTATTTTTAGGGTGAGGTGTATCGAACTTGCAACAATATAGTTTAAATCTTATGCAAAGTCTTCCGGAGGAGAAAGTATATTAGCACAATAACTTTGTATACACCTAAATGAGACAGGAAAGCACAAGAAAGGAAAATTAAGGCCAATATCCATGAACAGAAAGTAAAAGTCACAAACAAAGCTAGCAAGTACCTAAGCGCAGTTTAATATATAATGATAAATGTAGGTATTTTTCATGGGAATGCATGGTTTCTTTAGCATTTGTAAACCTGCAGTTGCTAAAGCACTGCCTTAATAGGTTAAAGGAGAGAAATCTGTTCATCAAATGCAGAAAAAGCAGCCAAAATTCAGCATCCACCCATGTTAAAACTTAATCAGTCCTGGCCACCACAGGAGCAGTGGAAGCTGTGTGCTCATACCTGAAGCCCCAGAGGTGGTGCATGCCCGGACCTGTGGCCTGGTGGCTGCCAGTCTGGCCCCAGCAGTGGAGGCTGAGTGCCTACCTGCACAGCCCCTGGGGTGGAGCACTCCTGACCCCTCCACCCAGAGGCACCGTGCACCCGACCCCACGACCCTGGCTGAAGCAGCAGAGGAGGCATGCGCCTGTGTCCACAGCAACAGTGGCGCCCCCCCCCCCCCGCAGGACCAACTGGCTCACTAAGGAAGGCAGAGACCACCCTCTTCCCACCCCCAAGAAGAGGACAGTGGCAGGGCTAAGGGAGTCAGCAGTCCCCAGAAAGATTTAACTCAGTGGGGGAGCAGAACTATCCTGAAGAGACTGAGAGTCCCTAGCATCTAGGACAGCAAAGACTGAGAAGCTGGTGTATGAGTTGCCCCTAACTGATGCACCTGAAGGACAGCACAACTGGTAGACCGAAGGCATAGGCCAGGTGTAGAAGGGCACTGGGGGCTGGACAGCAAACTGAGGAACTGGGATGGTGGCTGGGCAACTGCAAAGAGTGTAGCTCAGACCTGACCCCCTTCTCTGTAAAACCACAGGAAGGTTAAAAAGCTAAATGAATCCCCCCTCAGCCTGCTGCAGCCAGGAAGACCAGCAGAACTGGCTTGGCCAGTTGAAAGCCAGCAGGAGGCTTTTTTCCCTTTCCTTCCATCTTTCCTTCCTGCCTCCTTCCCTCCCTCCCTCCCTCCCTCCCTTCCTTCCTTCCTTTACCTGGAGCTGTGAAAGGACCACAGTTAGACCCAAAAAGTGGTCAACCCAACAACTGAGACAGTGAGACTGATTTCTCTTTGCTGTTCCAGAGAACTTGCAAGTTACTGTATATTTGTATTATTTTCTCATTATTTTTACATCTTATATTAGTATTTTTTTATTTATATTCTTTCTGTTTAGTCTTCCCTTTGTTAAATTGCATTGTTTGGTTTTCCTTGTTCTCTGTTTCATAGTGTATTTTTAATTTTCCGTCTTTCACTTCACTTGTATTTCAATAGCACAGTACTCTAGGTCTTACACTTCCTATTCTTGTTATTTGTATCCTATAGATTCTGTCATATGACTGTTGCTCAATTACTGTTGTAGATAATTGCTGTTCCATGCAATTGTAAATATTACACAGCACCCCTCCTGGATCTTAGCTCACTTCACTGTTTCTAGAACTTTCTTACTGTTGTGGTTAACTCTGTTCTGTCTCATACTACACCTATTTTCTGTCCTTTACTCTCACTATATCTCATAATCTGACCTCCCACAAGCTCACTGCTTTCTAGATCCAAATTGCAATCCCTCCCACACCCTAAAAGAGTCTTATATTTTTTCTACCCTTTCTAAAAAGTGGCTAGTTGGGTGAAATATCACAGTTAGCAGTATATATATCCAAAGGATCTCCTATCTCTTCTCTACAGGCTGGTACTTTAAATACTACAGAATATATGCTTGCTGTCTTAATCCATTTTGCCTTCCCCCTCCACCTGCTCACATAGAAGAGTGGGTGGAAGCTGTAAACATCAGTATACCAGCTGGAAGAGAAAACCCACCAAAAAGGAACTACCAACAGATAATAATGGAAGAAGGTGAAGGAGTGAGTGGAAACCACACTAACCTCCACCCAGGACCAATCTAGAAGTACAACTAAATGGTGGAGAAATTACCCAGAACAAACAATTGAACAAAAGTGAGAGGAAAACCTCAAAACTGTACAGATGAAAGAAGCAGCTTCAACAAAACCTGTCCATATCTGCACAACAGAATTCAAAACATGGTAGATGGAGTGACCCTCAGTTAACCAGATGGAGGGAAGGACCCACCAAAGAAAGACTCAACAACAATAAAAAACTAAAGACATACAAAAAGCTAACATAAAAGACAGTCCAAGACCAGCGAGCTTAGGAGACCAAGGAGACTCCACCACTGAATCTCACAGGTATTCTACCATAGAAGTTCACACCATAAACCCAGGAAGTTAGAACAGATCAATTTAAGAAGTAGAGGGTAACAAGAGTCTCATAAACAATGGGAAGACAAAGAAACAATCCCCAAATGAAAGGAAAGGAGGAAGCCTCAGAAAGAATGCTAAATGAAATAGAGGCAAATCAACTATCTGATATTGAGTTCAAAGCAGTGGTTATAAGGAAGCTTAATGAGCTCACAGAGAATTACCAAAAACTGCAGGGGAACTACAGTGAACTCACTGCAAACTGTATCAACATGAAAAAGGAAATAAAAACTATTAACAAGGGCCAAGAGGAAATTAAGAATACAGTTTCTGAATTGAAAAACATAGTAGAAGGAGTCAAAAGTAGGCTAGATGAAGCAGAGGACTGAATTAGTAAGCTGGAGGACAAGGTAGAAAAAAACACCCAGAATGAGCAAGAAAAGGAAAAGAGGCCCAGAAAGAATGAAGAGGTCTAAAGAGAAATGCAAGACAACATGAGGCGTAATAATTTCTATATAATAGGGATAGCAGAAGGAGAAGAGGGGTGAGCAAGGGATAGAAAACCTGTTTGAAAAAGTAGTGATGGAAAACTTCCATAATTTGATGAGAGAAAAAGTCAAATCCAGGAAACACAGATGGTCCCAATCAAGAGGAACTCAAGGAAGCCCACTGCAAGACACATCATAATTAAAATGGCAAAATTACAAGACAAAGAATCTTGAAGGCAGCAAGGGAGAAACAGGAAGTAACATATAAAGGAGTCCCAATAAGGCTAGCAGCTGACTTCTCAATAGAAACATTCCAAGCCAGAAGGGATTGGCAAGGAATATTCCAAGTAATGAAAACCAAAGGCCTTCAACCAATATTACTTTATCCAATAAGGCTCTCAATTAAAATGGAAGGCCAAATAAGGAAATTCCCAGACAAAAGAAGCCTGAAAGAATCAACTTTTTCCAAACCAGCTCTGCAAGAGATGCTAAAGGGTCTGGTTTAAGAACAGGAAGAAAAGCAGTGAGAAAGAGGAACACAGGTATGAAAAAATGGCAATAAGTATCTATCAATACTAACCTTAAACATAAATGGATTAAATGCTCCAATCCAAAGACATAGAATAGCTGAATGGATAAGAAATTGTGACCCGCACATATGCTGCCTATGAGAGCCCCACCTCAGAGCAAAAGACCTACACAGATCAAAAGTGAAGGGCTGGAAACAAATATTCCAAGCAAATGGACAGGAAAAATAAAGCTGAGGTAGCAGTACTCAGACAAAATAGATTTTTAAAAAAGCCATAAAAGTAGACATGGAAGGTTACTTCATAATACTCAAGGGAAGAATCCATCAAGAAGACATAAACATTGTAGATACATATGCACCCAAAATAGGAGCACCAAAATGTATAAAAAAATCTTGGAGGAGTTCAAGAAAGATATTGATAGCAACACAACTATAGTAGGGAATTTTAACAGCCCACTGTCAACATGGATAGATCTTCCAAACAAAATATCAACAAAGATATTGTGGCATTGAACAATACCATAGAACAAATGAACTTACAGCTTTCTCTGACAGCACCCATGTATGATAACACTCAGCAAAGTGGAACTAGAGGAAGCATTCCTCAACCTAATAATGGCCACATATGAGAGACCTACAGCCAACATTACACTCAATGAGCAAAAACTTAGAGTTTTCCGACTAAGATCAGGAACAAGACAAGGATGCCCACTTTCACCACTCCTATTCAACAGTCTCTGAAGTCCTAGCCACAGCAATCAGATAAGAAAAACAAAAGACATTCAAATTGGAAAGAAGGAAGCAAAACTGTCATTGTTTGCAGATGACATGATAGTATATATAGAAAATCCTATAGACTCCTCCAAAAAAACTATTTGACCTAATAAGTGCATTTGGCAAAACAGCGGGATACAAAGTTAATATTCAGAAATGAAAGGCATTTTTGTACACCAACAATGAAATATCAAACAGAAATCAGAAAAAAAATCCCATCTGATAGAGCAATAAAAAAAAAGGTACCTACAGATAAACCTAACTAAGGAGGTAAAAGACCTATACTTAGCAAACTACACAATACCGAAGAAAGAAATTAAAGAAGACACAAACAAGTGGAAATATATACTGTGGTAATGGATTGGAAGAATTTACATCATCAAAATGTCCATACTACCCAAAGCTATTTATAGATTCAGTGCAATCCCTGTTAAAGTACCCGCAACATATTTCACAGATATAGAACAAACATTTCAGAAATTTGTATGGAACTGCAAAAGACCCCAATTAGCTGCAGTAATTTTGAGAAAGAAGAACAAAGTAGGAGGATCACAATACCTGATAGCAAACTATTACAAGGCCACTGTAATCAAAACAGCCTGGTAATGGCATAAGAACAGACACATAAACCAATGAAATAGAACAGAGAGCCCAGAAATAAATCCAAGTCTCTATGGTCAATTAATATTTGACAAAGGGGGAAAAAGCATAAAATGGAGTAAAAATAGCCTCTTCAACAAATGGTGTTGGGTGTTGAGCTACATGCAAAAAAAAAGAAAAAGAAAAAGAAACTCGATCACCAACTTGCACCATACACAAAAGTAAATTCAAGGGGGGATAAAAGCCTTAAATATAAGTCATGACACCATGAAAGTCCTAGAGACAAACCTCAGCAGGAAAATGTCACACATTCCATGCAGCAATATCTTCACTGATATGTCCCCTAAAGCAATGGACATAAAAGAAAGAATAAACAAATGGGACCCCATCAAATTAAAAAGCATCTACATGGCTATGAAAATAGTATTATAATGAAAAGAGGACCAACTACATGGGAAAACATTTGCCAATGATACCTTGGACAAGGGCTTGATATCCAAAATATATAAAGAACTCACACGACTCCATTCCATGAAGAAAGACAACCCAATTAAAAATGGGCAAGAGACATGAACAGACACTTCTCCAGGGAGGACATACAGAGGGCCCAAAGACATGAAAAGATGCTCAGCATCCCTTGCCGTCAGAGAGATGCAAATTAAAACCACAATAAGATACCACTTCACACTGGTGAGAATGGTCACCATAAACAAGTCAAGAAACAAATGTTGGAGAGGATGTGGAGAAAAGGGAACCCTAGTGCACTGTTGGTGGGAATGCAGACTGGTGCAGCCACTGTGGAAAACACTATGGAGTTTCC